AGGTTCCAGCTTTGTTTTATATTGATTGTATTAAAACAAAGAAAACAATCTGAAGTCGTTTTTAATTTACCGGTCCGGCCCACTTGGGACTAGATTTCCCTCAATGTGGCCCCTGAGCTAAAATGAGTTTGACACCCCTGGTCTAGAGGCTCTTGTAAGACTATACTGGGCTCACTTCTGGCTGGCTCCTGTTCTTCCAGTTCGTCCTTCTGTGACGGCGCTGATGTTGACAGCGCTGGTGCAACAGCGTCTTCCGCCGCATCTTCCACCACGTCTTTGGGCCGTGTCTCCTCCGGGTCTGGCTTGGGCCCGGCCTCTGGCTCTGCTGACTCGAGCAGGTTCACAGCTGTCGGACCGACCGAAACTTCTTTAAAGCTGCCCACTTTCTCTTCTATTGTTCCTCTTCATTTTTTTTTTCTTTTTACGTTTTGCCGCACCCAAAAGCATCGTGAAAGTTAGCCTACTCAAAAACACCTGCTAGCTTTGTTGTGTCCCGCTGTGACTCTGACCGCTTCTCTGACATTGGGTGGCGCCCAAGTTGTAGGCTACAGTCATGGGCTGGCGTTAATGTGACGTAGCCAATGTAACAGTCTATGGTTAAGATAAACATTGTCACTATTTTTAGTTCATTAATAAATATTGAAATAAATTGTAGATAGGAGTCCTATCCACAAATTATATCATAGGACATTTGTACATTTTATTTTTAATTTATTTATTTTTAATTTTGTCCCTCTGTCTGGGCCCCATCCAGCTAATCAGGCCCTTGGCACGTGCCTACTTTGCCTTTGCGTTAATCCGGCTCTGAGTGTATCAATAGTTACATCTTACGTAGGAAACCATCAAAGGTGAGATTCCATAGAAAATATGGAATCAATTTGATGTATCTTTGAATACTACCTTTAACTCATTCACTGCCAATGACGACTAAAGTCGTCATTTTAGATCCAACCGTTCACTGCCAATGACGACTAAAGTCGTCATTTGCATTTTTTTACTGTTTGAGCATTGGAACGAGCCCCAGCGCTGATAGAACAAGCATCTCAGCCCTGAAGCCGATCTTCATCCGCATACGTCACAGATCACATGATCAGGAAGCAGACCATCCATGTGTTTGGAGATCGTTTTGGGCCGTTCCTGTAAAAAAAGTGAGGCGCGAACCGGAGAAGCATCTGCCGATCACAATTCAACAACGGATTATGAAAGAACGGATAATGCTCGAAACACGCGGCTTCTTCCTGATGTAAGAGGTGAGTCTCCTCTTTGTTTTGGTTGTTTTGGCATCGACATCATGCTAGCGCAACGTTCTGTGACTCTTAAAAAACAGTAAAAACGGTGAGAAACGCTGGCAGCGAAGGCCGTTTAGCGATCAGGAAACGGCTGGCAGTGAATGAGTTAATCAGAAGATCTGAACTTTTATTGCAGGGATAAGGTGACACTTTGTAATAACCCAGAGTCAAAGAGAGAGAGAGAGAGACAAGTTTAAAAGTTTTTGTATTTTTAAACAATTATTATTATTTCTAAACAGGGGCAGTTCCTGTGGAGTGGCAGACCGGGGTGGTGGTCCCCATCTTTAAGAAGGGTGACCTGAGGGTGTGTTCCAACTATAGGGGGATCACACTCCTCAGCCTCCCTGGAAAGGTCTACTCCAAGGTACTGGAGAGGAGGGTCCGACCGATAGTTGAATCTCAGATAGAGGAGGAGCAATGTGGTTTTGGTCCTGGCCGTGGAACTGTGGACCAGCTCTATAACCTTGCAAGGGTGATGGAGGGGGCATGGGAGTTTGCCCAACCAATCCACATGTGCTTTGTGGATTTGGAGAAGGCTTATGACCGTGTCCCCAGGGGCACCCTGTGGGGGACGCTCCAGGAGTATGGGGTGGGTGGCTTTCTGTTAAGGGCCATTCAGTCCCTTTACCAGAGGAGCGTGAGTTTGGTCCGCATAGCCGGTAGTAAGTCGGACCTGTTCCCGGTGAGGGTTGGACTCCGCCAGGGCTGCCCTTTGTCACCGGTTCTGTTCATTACCTTTATGGACAGAATTTCTAGACGCAGCCGTGGTGTGGAGTGTGTCGAGTTTGGTGGCAGGAGAATCTCGTCTCTGCTTTTTGCGGATGATGTGGTCCTCCTAGCTTCATCCAGCTCTGACCTTCAGCTCTTGCTGGGTAGGTTCACGGCAGAGTGTGAAGTGGCTGGGATGAGGATCAGCACCTCCAAATCTGAGACCATGGTTCTCGACCGGAAAAGGGTGGCTTGCCAACTCCGGGTCGGGGGAGAGGTCCTACCTCAAGTGGAGGAGTTTAAGTATCTCGGGGTCTTGTTCACGAGTGAGGGTAGGAGGGATTGGGAGATCGACAGGCGGATTGGTTCGGCGTCTGCAGTGATGCGGATGCTGAGCCGATCTGTCGTGGTGAAGAGGGAGCTGAGCCAGAAAGCCAGGCTCTCGATTTACCGGTCGACTATTTTCTTTGTCTTCCCAACCTTCAAACAATAGCCTATAGAGATTTATGCTAACAGTTAATTCCCAACAGGGAGCTTAGTAATTACAATACTTCTCCTCTTTGCCTTTAATTGCAAAGGGAGTTGCTTCCCGGCTGATCAGCCAGCCAGCCTGCCACCAGGGAGACTGGTTTCATCACCTCTGGCAGCCTCAGGTCAATGAGGGTGTTTGGGTGGAGAGTTAAATAAAGGCTGTTTGTTAATGGAGCAGCTTGATTCATATCTGCCTCATGCTGTTGGATGTTTCATGACAGATTCAACAGATTGCTAAAAGAAAGGTAACCGTTAAACAACACTTTTATATAGTACGATCAAGCGTAAAACAGGAAGATGTTAAAAATAAGTTGTGAATTGAAAACAGACTATATGTGTTCTTGAGTCAGCAGCAACTTTGTGATGAGTTTTAGAGCTGAAGGCTGACAAACTGCTAACAGCAAACTGTCAAGTCTAACTGAGGGACACAAAGGAGCTCTGATGCTTTTCATAACACACTACGTCTATCTAGATGAGAAACCTGACACTTCCGTCTGTGTTTACTGGGGTCATGGCAACCACACGCTTTCGGCAGTAGCAGTGGGAGGCTGAGGATGCTAAAAGTAGTTAATAGCACCATGCTAATTAGCACAATAATGTGCAAAATCAGAAATTAGAAGCAGCAGTCTGTCTCTGCAGGGAACCAGAGACACAAACAGATAATAAAGAATAGCTTAGTCAGCAAATACAGCTCATTTGTAACATTTTCTAATACAAAAAGTAAATGACAAAGCAATGGGAAAAAGTTTATTTTCTATTGCAGGAAAATGACATGACAGTGTCTCATTTAAAAGTTGTCCTATCTGAATATTTTTCTGTAAATCATTGCAGACAGCAAATGAAAGTCCCCTCTCCATCATTACTGATGTTACAACCTCACTCGTGTTTCAGAAAGGCTCAGTAAAACTCGACATGATGGAGAGGCTGATTTTGATTCTGTTCGCGTTTCTGAAAAAAAGAAAAAAACTGCTCGTTTGTGGATTGGTGTAATTCACACACACACACACACACACACACACACACACACACACACACACACACACACACACAAAGTTTCATTATTGGATGTAAAAAAAAAACTCCTGAGTGATCAATGTAAGCAATTTCAGTCCAAATCAATGAATGTTACCAAATCATGTTTTGTTTTAATTGTGTTAAATAAGTCTCTCTGTAGGAATGAAGCCTGAGCAGCTGCTCCATGAAGGAAAACAACATTACCATCCCAGCGCTGTGACCAAACTCCCTCTTGGATCAACAAAATAAATACTGGTGGAGTCAGAAATCTCAAGCAGTAATTATATTTCTGTATTAGATGGAGTTTGGCTCAAGGCTTAACCATAAACATTGTGCCTTTGTTGGACAAATGTTTTATTAAGACGCTGAGGAGATCAAGGCGATTCCATCACTCAGCTCTAATTGACACAATGAGGAGCTATTACTGTATTGATCCACCTGGCAAGTTGCACAGGATCAGCTGTGGTCCGTATCGACCTGACTAAGTGGGTGCACAGTCCTCTGAGGGTCAGGCAAATGTTAAAGGGGTATTACCAGTTTATTGTGGAGCCGGACCTCCTTCAAGGTGAAAGGAAAAAAAAACAAAATAATACTAATAGAGAAAACAGACGCCGTGTTGTGCTTTTAGGAAAAGGGTTTTTGGAAACTCAACCCTTGAATGACCTGATCAGGCAGCTTTGTGACTCGATATCTTAGCAATAAATTATCATAAAATATACCTCTGAGCTTTTTACACACCACTAAATACTGTACATGTCTCAATCCTGAATGATGAAATTATTAAATAATAAAATAAAAACACAGACAAGGGACCAACATAAGATTTTACGGTTTTTCTCTTAATCCCAACCAAAGTCCTGACCAGTCATCTTATAAAACTTCCTATTAAAAGGTTTATAGAAGTCCCTTAGACGTTGCACAACCTCTGGGTTAATATTAGGATGAGTTCTGCCTTTGGTTTTGCCCAAACAGTGAGGCTTGCTGTTCCCGTCGGGTCTCTGAAGGCAGGGGAAACCTTTGGCTGGGTTAAAGTGGAAATACTTCTCTGTGATCACCCTCCGGAGTCCCAGAAAGGCCTGAACACGAGCCATCTCACCTGCCGGGTCGGTGATGAGGCGCTCTCCGCTAACAAACAGCAACTGCTCCAAGGGGAAGAACTGGAGCCAGCGTTCAAGGTGCTTGGCATACAGGCCGATTTGCACGGCGCTCCATGTGGTGTCAATCACACCCACTGAAATGTTTTTTAAAGTGAGGCTTTCAAATGAGGCAATGTCCGGCTTCTTGGAGCGTGTCTGAGTGTAGTCTGAGATGGCTCGTGTCACAGGATTACGAACCACAACGATCAGTCTGGTGTCTTTAGACATGCTGTAGATCCGGGAGGGGACATCTCTAGTGACAAAGTAGCTGGGGGTCTTCTCCATAGTCAGCTGGCTCTCTGATGATTTTGGCATCAACTCCCTGCAAACAAAATAATTAAATTTGTTTGATCAGCAATGGAGATGCTTAAAAATGCATTTATTTGCAAATTCAGGAGGTTAAGGTTGATAGTCGCATCATGTCGGGTTTAAAACTGCTGCTACACAGAAACTCATCATCCATTTGAAAGAGAACAGTTGTAGATGCCATGAGCTGCTGTACCCAGGCCTGTGAAATCTACCCAAAGAGACGCAGCAAAGCAGTAATCACATCCATCATCACTGACGGAATCCAAAGTTCACGTTGCGTCCTTTGTGAAATCGCATGCATTTATTCTATTTTAGAACCAAAATTTTGTTTTTCACTTCACAATCATTGCATCTGTTTGTTGGCCATTGTCTTTACATAAATGTAAAGTTTTGCATTTCTTTGAACATTGAATGCTTGAGAGTTCTAGTTATGGATAGCTCCAGTTAATCAGAACTGCGGTTACCACCTGTTAACTGCAGTCCTAAATGGATGAGAGCCTAAATGACCCAAAGGGGATTAGGACTGAACCAAAGTAGGCAGCTTTAAAGGCTGGCCATCGCTCCCTTGGATACCATGGGTAAGCTTGTTTCCAGACAAACAAAGAAATCATTCCATTCTCCGATGTTCCGCCAGTATCAAAGTGGTGAAATTAAAATTCCAACCTGTTGAAACCTTTACACGGACAGTGTTGAAGTCACATTTAATTCTCTGCAGCTTGTCATTAGAGTTTTAGATCACTTGCTGATTTGACAATCAGCAAGATCATCATCATGTCTGGAAATGAGAGGAGTGAGAATAGAGACTTGTATACTGCACCACCATGTCTGATGTTGGGTTAGAGTTTGGTTACATTTTAGATTCTCTATTGTTCAGTTATTTAGAAATATCCTACAGTTCTGGCAGTGACTAAATCAAACTACAGGAAAGCAGAAGAGGCATGTCATTAACATGATTACTGTAATTTCCAACCATATGTCGGCATGCACCCATCTCTCCAAACCCTGCAGCTTCCATCTTATAAAATTCACACAGTGAAAATAAATTCTCTGCAAGTGGATATGACAAATTTTGTTTTTAGTGTCACACAAACTTACGCTTGAGGTTCTGTTTCTTCAGAAGGTCACTTGTTCCTTGTGGTTTTTCTTAGGACAGCTCAGTGCAACGGTCTGTCTCACAGCGAGGACAACTTTTTGCTGTTCTTTATTTAATCAGGAAATGTCTCCAATATGGTCATTGGAATGACCGTGGCAGTGTCGGTAAGTGCCCTCTCATAACTGGAGGGTTGTGGGATCGAGTCCCACTCAGTCTGTTTCAGTTGCTGTGTCCTTGAGCATGACACTCAATCCCACGTTACCTGCTGGTGATGGTTGGGGGTGCGGTGATGCTTGTTTATGCCAACCTCGCCTCTGTCAGTGTGCCCCAGGGCAGCTGTGGCTACATTGTAGCTCAGAACCACCAGTGTGTGAATGTGTGTGTGAATGAGTGAATGACTGGATGTGTTGGGAAGCGACATGGAGGTGTGGTAGCACCCTAAAAGGTGCTATATACAAGCTCACCAGTGTTTTATCCTTAAAGAATGAAAAGATGCTCAGTTAAAAGGGGTTATTTAGCAATTTATAGTAGAGATTCAGCATGAATGTGTCAATAAAAACACCATTGTAAAGCACTTTATAGAAGGTTAGAAATCAGAGCTACTTCAGTATGAATCATTTACCACTCTGCTCTTCCCTGTCCCTCAGTGCCTTGGCAACCATTGTGTGTGGTGAAGCCACCACACACCTAATCAAGGTAATGGGTACAAGACACACAAACAACTCCATCAGAACCCTCTGCAATTATCTCCAACATCTCCTGGAAACAGACACTGCCACCGGCTTTTTGTAGGGCCTCAAGGGACGCAAAAACCGACAAGCAATCAAAATGTCTTCTTTGTTAACAAAAACATGGATGCATGCATTTTTATCTTCGGAAGAACAAAAAGCAGGCAGCACCTCTGACAGAGCAAAATGACAACGTTTTTTTAACCAGTATAAAGAAGCCTAACCCTAACCAACCTCCATCTTCAAGGTCTTTTGCCTCAGAACAAAGAACAGTCTATCAAGTTAAGCTTATATTTGAGTGAGGGAGAAGCTGTGAGAAATTACCAGGCCCCCACAATGCGGCTCAAAAATTGAGTCCAACCCGGAAGTACCAGATATTGCAGTTCCACCGTCATCCACTAGGGGCTGGTGTCAGAAGCGAGCAAATCCTCATTGACTCCCATGTTAAAAATGCCGATTTCACAGCAGAAATAAACATGTTTACAGCCTGGTACCAAAACATGTTTTTGTTTAAATGATCTAGTTTACACTCATGACAACTCTGAGAGGGTGACTTTTTTCTCACTCTTCTGTTTAAGTGTATTAAAAGCCTAAAATTCTGTATAATTAATGAGCATCCGACCCACGTGACCACCGCCTCAGACCCACGTGACCACAGAGCTAGCTCCGTGGAAAGGCCTCAGTAGAGCCTCGGTCTGGCCTGGAAACTGTTCCGGGATTTTGAGTCTCTGTGTTTGTGTATTCTTTTGTAGCGTAATGGTTGTTGGCTGGAAAGATAAACCATTCTACATAATAATCTGGAATATTAATTTTTACAAATTAATAACCAAATGTTATAGAGATAAGAAGACTCAAAAGTTGTTTTCATCGATAAACTGACGATCATATCCGTTTGTCTGTGTTTCAGTTCAATGAAAAGACAAGTTTAAAATTTAAGAGTTTTAATTCTTCAATTTAAACTAGCGATTTGAAATGACAATCATAGGAAAAACAATCAACATTGGCAACCTTGTTGGACAATCTTTAACAGTTGATATTTTAAGCTTGCACGAATAGACCTTGTGTTGGATGTGCTAAGATTGAGAATGATGGAATTATGAATGCTTGCATGCAGGTGTCTGAGATTGCTTCAGGGAGAGGGAAGGTGAACTGAGTGAAAAATGATGTTTTGCCATTAAACTTTAGTTCTTATTAGAAAAACAGCATCAGAACGCTATCTCGTCGTCTTCTGCCTCACCGCACTTGGGACCCTATTTAGATCCGGACCTCACAGGAGGATGTGTTATCCAGATGACACCTTGGCTGACAGAGAAGACGAAGGTGTGCTGACGGTCCAGTCCAGAGTTGACCTCGGTACACGTTCTTGAAGCGTTTCGGCAGACGCGCTTTCTCAAGTTTAAATTAACTCAGAAATCAAAAGACTCTGGGACGAGTCTGCGTAAGCTGGTTGCATTTTAGTTATTCTGTCTAGCTTGACAGAAATAGCGTGGGGGGAGAAAAGAGCCTGCAGGGCTCCTTTCCCCGTGGCGTTCGTTCCGCACTTCCTCTCGCTTCCGTTCTCTCTCTCGTTCTGTTCTGAACTGACTCCTTACCAAAACCACTTCTCTTCCCAAAGCAAACTTGTTGTACGTCAGAGCAAATGTGTTTTGAGTTACTGTGGATACGGACCTGTGTGAGGAGGTGTGAAGGTCATCGCTAAACATCTTCAAAAACATTATTTAATTAAGTATACTGATTCCTTATAGTTCATTATGATTACCCAAAGCATAATAATCATTCATTTGATTAAAATACATTTATAATGAGCAAAGTGATCAAATGACTATTTAACATTAATAAACAAAGAAAGCTCAAGACTGTTTTATTATGACTAGACTGTGTGAGAAGTCCTTCTTCTGGAGAGCAGGTGTTCAGCTGTTGTGGAGTCCTTCAGACTTGCTGGCGGCTTAGGTCTTAATCTGTGGGTGAAGGTGCTGCGTGACCCAGCTTTGACCCAGCCGGGCAAATACGACCTTTGGCACAGAAACCCATATTTCCTCACGTTACACTTTTTTGGATATTTTTTGTGCAATTGTTGGACAAAATGACTTGCTGTGGCATTAATTGCACTAATAGAGCGTCCAAGGAATCTCCACTTCATTTTTTCGGTAAGTAAAATTATATTTATGTATTTTAGGTCACTGCCGAGCTGAGCTTAGATTTTAACATGTACTGTTTAACCATGACATTTAAATGTAATAGGGTAAAACCCAGTGCATTTAACATAATGCTGCACTTTAGAAAATGGGTTGAGATATAACATGTTGGTGGAGCTGGGTTCCCACTATCGGCTTGTGGAGCTCTCGGGAGACCGATATTTTCCACTCGTTTCTCGCCTCCCCGCAGCTCGGCGCATCTCTGTCTGATCGCGCCTTCTGTTTGCTGCGCGGGCTGCCGGCTTGTGAAGCTCTGGATGGAAACCGATGTTTTCCACCCGTTGTCCCCTCCCCGCAGCTCGGCGCATCTCTGTCTGATCGCGGCTTCCATCTGCTGTGAGGGCTGCCGGCTTGTGGAGCTCTGGGATGGAAACCTTTCCACCCGGTTCTCCCCAGCGGCATCTCTGCGCATCTCAGATCGCAGCGGTGCTTGTCTGCTGTGCGGCTGCCGGCTTGTGGAGCTCTCGGGAGACCTCTGTGTTCCTCCCGGTTTTACCCAGCAGTCAGCCCGGCGTATCTCTGACTCAGAAGCTCTGGTGTTGTACACAGTTAACTCCGGTTGTAGCTAGGTTTCTACCTCCGTTAGCTTAGCTCCCACCTCCGCGTTAGCTTTGGGTTAGCTTCAGGTTAGTTTGTAGCTAGTTCGACCGGGTGTCGTCAGTTGATCCCAGCTTTGCGGCCCCACCCTCAACTCTACCTCTCTTCCCTTTTGTAGAATTGTCTGGGCTTGACGGAACCTGTGACACGGTCAAAATGGCGGTGGTGGCCACCTCAAATTTAGCCTCAAAAACGTGTTATTGGAGCCTATGGAAATAGAGGTGGGAAAAATGATCGATTCTAAGATGCATCGCGATTCAGCCGTGCATGATTCCGCATCGATGCAGCAACGTGACATAATGAGATTCTCTCCCTATGTCTATGTCGGGGGTCGGCAACCGCGGCTCTGGAGCCGCATGCGGCTCTTCCATCCATCTGATGCGGCTCTCTGTGCTTGTAA